AATCTTTTGTATTTTTCTTTTCAGTATTGACTGCCTGAAATGAAGGCTTTGCAGCAGCTCTGCCATATTCCAAAGTTCCTGTAATTCTTCCCATTGACATATTGAATTAGTCATTGCTAATATTGATACAGGCTGGGCTTGTGCTCATGGTCTTTCTTATGTAAATACCACTGCCCTTTGAGTCACTGCTTTAACCCCTTGTTTCCTTTGGAAGTGGCTGACAAGAATGAATTTCCAGAAAGTTTTCCATTCCTTGGGAATCTTGGCTCTCATTTGAGTCGCAGTTGGCAATGGTTGGTAAACTGGGCCCTGTGCTCCACTGGCCTTCCTTCACGTGGATGCTGATGCCTTCTCCCTGTTTCTGTGGGATTCTGAGTGGGGAGCGGAGTTGTGGGAGGGCCATGGAGAGTTTAGGAAGCAGGATAGGAATGGCTGACCTGGTTCTGGGATGCTTGGGTGCTTGCAGGTCCAGATTATGGATGTTTCCTAATGCACTTGAGTTTTCTAAGATAATTCATTCCCTTTTGACACCATTGTCCGTAATCCCCTTATATCTTATTTGAATTTTCTTCTCTTGGAAAAAAAAAAGAAGCCTGAAAACCCACAAAACCATTGTGTGGGATGGAACTAACTGCACTGGCATAAGCCCAGAATATTGTGGGCAAGTGCTCTGGATACATCTCTGTATCTTGAACAATGTTGTTCAGCTGTTTTCAGCCTGTTCCTTCCTCAGTCTCTCTCCAGCCAACACACCCCTGCCCTTCTAGACTCTGCTGTAAATTTTTTTTTGTTTTAATGTGTATCGACAACAGAATAGAATGATCTCACCATGTTTATGTTCCCCAGAATAATGGTGACTTTCACCTGATGCCCACAGAAATGAGTACCTCTTTTAGCCCACTGAGCGACAGCAATAGCTCAGTGAAGTGCCCATTTGCAAAGGCTTTATCTGGATGGTCTTGTGCATCCTTTGATTTGTTTGGGTTTCCTTTGTACCAGTGTCTTTAATTAGCTGGACCCTGCTGTGTCCTGCTCATTCCTGTTGCTCTGCCTTGTCTGCATTTCCCTTCAGGGGTAATGTACGTTGTGCAGCTCCTGGGGTACGTCGACAATACTTGGATATATTTTTAGCGGCTGCAGATCTCGAGTAAGTTATTTGGTGCTTTACATAGTCGACTGATCTTCAGTCATGAATGTCTTTAGATGTTCCTGGATGCACAGAACCAAAGGCTGCCAGCTGCTATTGATCATTTTTCCAGCATAAAGCCGAAGGTGGCAGCTTGGCAGAGGAGCAGGCGTTTCCTCTGGTGGCAATTCATTTTCTCCTTCAGTTGAAGCTGCCGATGACCTTGGAGCTAGCGTGCCTGCAGAGCTTGCTTTCCGCTCCCATATTTATCATCATCTTTAATCTGTATGATCACAGCACTTCATCTCTCTGCCTCTCAGCTGCCTTCTGCCCTTCAGCATGAAAGGTGGACAGAAAGGCTGAGCAAAGAATATGGCCTTCCCCATCACATTATCAAGGGAAGCTGACTCCTAGAGGGGTCATCTTAAAGTTATGATGCTCATGATCAAGACCTTGCCTCCCTGCTCTCTAGTCCACTTGTGGAGTTTGAAGTTTGTTGGTTGGGCTGTGATACTTTAATATTTACAAAGTAGTGACATCCATTCACCTCTATGTGAACTGAGTTAATGACAGAAGAAACAACCTGTTCTGTATTTGCTCTCTTTCTCACAGGCATCGTGTTCTGTAAAAGGACAGCAGAGCCTGAAGGAATTAGTATGCAGGAGCATCCGCTTTCCATTGAAAATGTACTAAGTGTGATGTTTGCAACTGTGGTTTGAGGGAAAAAACAAAGCAGCCAGGGTTTATAGAAGAGCTCACACTTTGAATGAGGCAGGTTTTTCCCTTCAGCATGTGCTACCCCAACAAATACATTCCCATATCCCAGGCAGCGGTGCTGGCTCCCAGCTCATCTGCTTCTGTGATACAAGCAGCCAGAAGCTGACTGATCCTAAATCTTGGAAAGACATTCAGGATAATTCCACAGAGCTGGTTTGGGTGTTTATTTGGGATCTGGTGCAGATTTAACAAGCTGTCATGTGAAAAATGAAAACCCCAAGCCGTAGTGGGAAGGTGGTGGGGAGGGAGAGGGAGAGGGGGAGGGAGGGAAGGCTC